AGATGCTGGGAGCAGAACTGCCTGGGGCTTAGATACGAAAACCGTTGATAAATGATAATAGGAATGTGGCAAGAACAAAAATTCATGCCTTGTTTTTCTTTTCGTCAGTTTTTGCAGTAGCGATAGCCATATTCAGTATTTTTGTTGCGTAATCGTAATAACGGCTAAAATTAGGTCCAATTGCTAGTGCAACATCGCCAAAGCACGAAAGCACTGCTGGTTTCACCAATTTTTCCACCTTATCACTCTGCAAATGACATGTAACATGAAATACAAAGTAATTTTTGATTTAATCAAGTTCGTTCTGTCTTGTTTACATTACTCCTTCTGCATGGGCGAAATTTTTGGCGAGGGAAATTATTATCTCAAGAACCACAAAAGCTAGAAAACTGAAATTCTGTGAATATGTCCCTTGCTCACACGCAACCCAGAAAATTTAAATTCAGCTTTCTCAAGCGCTTGGGTAACAAGTACGGCCCCGTGAAAGTTCTGGCGGGAAAATTGACCTTGAACCATGAAAGCTAAGCTGAAATATGACGAAAACATTACCCTCTCGTGTGCATCCCCGTAAATTTTTTCCAAATTAGTTTTCAGTCAAGCCTGGGCCTCAATTACGCCCTCGTAAAATTTAGGCGGGAAAAATTACTATCCAGGAACCAGTAAAAGACAGAAAGCTAAAATTCTAGCAAAATGCGAACTCGCAGAATCAAATTCAGCTTTCATATACGCTTGGATCTTTTGTGCGGTCTCGCGAAAGTTTTGGTGGGGAAAATTATTATCTCGGGAATCAGAACAGCTGCCAGGCTGAAATTTCAGTGGGATGTTTTCTGTCTGTACAGATACATCACAAAGTCAAATTTAGCTTCCAAGGTATGCCGAGTTCTTAAGTACGACCACGTGAGTGTTTTGATGCGAAAATCACTAGCTCGGAAGCCGGAAAACTGAGGGGTCGCAATTTGGAAGGATGTTGCCCGTCCAAGGTTACAATTTTAGCTTTCTATTTTGTCTAGTTGCCAAATTACAAATTCCCCACGCAA